TTATATTGTGCCACTCCAGGTATACAAGGCGGATGATGGGCACTGATGAAAAAAGGATTTCCGGGTGAAAGTGACCCTTTCTACACACACTCTCTCTTTCTTTTTTTAAAGACAAAACCTTTATTGGCATAGAGAATAAAACATAACCAAACTGATTCATTAAGTGCCCCACGCTTACAAAATCCAGGAGGGAGGAAAGCAGAGGACCAAACCCCACCAAGAAACATTTAATTGAAAGCAAGGCTTCTCTTTCTCACAATTGAGCTGATGAAATCTGCAATTCTACACTCTTTCAATCTGCTTTGTTTCCAAACCATATAAGATTGTTGTTGTTTAGTTGTTTAGTCGTGTCCGACTCTTCGTGACCCCATGGACCAGAGCACACCAGACGCTCCTGTCTTCCACTGCCTCCCGGAGCTGGGCCAAATTCATGTTGGTTGCTTCGATGACACTGTCCAACAATCTCATCCTCTGTTGTCCCCTTCTCCTCTTGCCCTCACACTTTCCTCACATCAGGGTCTTTTCCAGGGAGTCTTCTCTTCTCGTGAGATGGCCAAAATATTGGAGCCTCAGCTTCAGGATCCGTCCTTCCAGCGAGCACTCGGGCTTGATTTCCTTTAGAATGGATCGGTTTGTTACCCGGAAGAGGTATAAATTCCTCCAACGTCACAATTTTATTTCATTGGGGTTGTTGTTAAAAGCCACCTTGTCACCACTTTCCTACTCAAGAAAAAAATGAGTAAAAAACAGGAATAGAAATTCTAATATATAAAAAAAGACTTTTCACTGTATTAGCAACTTTGCTATCAATTATTTTCAGCAGGAATGTTTGATATTAAACCTGGTGTGGATTTTGTGATGTTGATTGAGACGTCCACCTGAAAGGAAGCTTTTCCCACACTCCATACATTTGAAGGGCTTCTCTCCTTTGTGAACCATTTCATAGGAACGAAGGCTCCCCCTTTGACTGAAGCTCTTTCCACACTCCAGGCATTTATAAGGTTTCTCCCCTGTGTGGATTCGGGAATGCAGAGTAAGTTTACCACTCTCACGGAAGCTCTTTCCACACTCCTGACACTTAAAGGGTTTCTCCCCTGTATGGACTCTCCGGTGTTGTCTAAGGGTCTTGGCTGACTTTAAATTTTTTCCACATTCGGTGCATTCATAACATTTCTCCGCAATATGAGTTGCATGGTGTATCTTGACACCTCCTTCCGTTTGAAGGCCTTTCCGCACTCCGAACATTTAAATGGTTTCTCTCCAGTGTGGATTATTTGATGGCGAGTAAGTGCTGACTTTGTAATGAAGCACTTTCCACACTCATTACACTTAAAGGTTTTCTCCCCCGTGTGGGTGCGCTCGCTTATGTTGAACAAGATCTCCACCACGAATGAAACTCTTCCCACACTCTGGACAGTGAAATGGCTTCTCCCCTGTGTGAATCCTTTGGTGAATAGTGAGATCTCCAGTATAACTGAAAGTCTTCCCACACTCCAGACATTTATATGGTTTCTCCCCTGTGTGAGTTCTTTCATGATCAGAAAGGCGATCGTTTCTACTAAATCTCTTTCCACACTCCAGACATTCATAGGGTTTCTCCCCAGTGTGAATTCTTTCATGGATAACAAGGTTAATTTTATGGCTGAAGGTCTTCTCACACTCTTGGCATTCAAGGGGCTTCTCGCCTGTATGGATCTTATTATGTGAACGAAGGTATGCCTTCAAACGGAAAGCCTTTCCACACTCCAGACATTTAAATGGCTTCTCTCTTGTATGAACGCTTTGATGGCTGAGAAGGGAATCTTTCAATCTAAAGCATTTTCCACATTCCTTGCATTCGAATGGCTTCGGCCCCATGTGGATACTCTGGTGGGTTTTCAGGTTTGTGCTCTGGCTGAAACTCTTTCCACACTCCAGAGATTTAAATGGCTTGTCCCCTGAGTGAATTCTTTGATGAGCTGTAAGAATTGTTTTCAACCTGAAGTGTTTCCCACACTCCAGGCATTCAAAGGGCTTCTCCCCTGTGTGAATTCTCTGATGAGAATTTAAATTTGACTTCTGCTTGAAAGTCTTTCCGCACTCTAAACATTTATATGCTTTCTCCCCAGGGTGCACTCTTTGATGCAAGGCGAGGCTGCTCTGACTGAATCTCTTTCCAGATTCCCAGCATTTCAATGACTTTTCTTTTCCTTGACTAAAATTCTTTCTACGTGCTACCCGTTTGTATGGTTTCTCACCTTGGTGAATCTTTTGATGATTCATCAACGATATTTTCAGTCGAAAAGTCTTTCCACATTGAAGACATTCAAATTGCTTGTTGTCTGTGTGGGTCCTAAGGTGTCTAGCAAAGTTTCCATTCTCACTGAAACTCTTTCCACACTCAATGCATTGAAATGGCATCTCCCCTGAGTGAATTCTTTCGTGGACGGTAAGATGGGATTTCCATCTAAAGCTTTCTCCACACTCCAGGCACTGAAATGGCTTCTTGTCCGCATGGATCCTGAGATGTTTAGCAAGGTTTGCAGACTGACTGAAACTCCTTCCACACTCTAGGCACGTCAGTGGTTTTTCCCCTTTGTGAACTTTCTCATGGCAATCTAGGGCTGATTTACGGGTAAAGGTTTTCCCACATTCGGGGCACTCATGGGTTTCCTCTCCCGTGGATGTTTTCTGAGGGACTTGGACTTCCTCTGGAGAAGAAATGGATGCATCTATCTTCTCATGTACATGATTTCCTCCAAGTTTCTTCGCTCCAGCTTGATTCTCAACAGCCTCTTCAGCATCCAGACATTCACTCGTTTCCCCTGGCATTTGATGTCATCCTCTTTTCTTTTTTTCCATAATTTTCCTCCTAAAAGGAGAGTAAATGAAAGTGAGTGGGGAAAACAAATTTTCACATCGTGACAAATCCGATGAACAGACAAAAAAGAATGCAGAATAAAATCCAGCTCTGGAAGGACACCTTCACAAACATGAGTGGGGAGGTT